TGCCCTTGATACCACACAGTCCTGTCTGTTGAGTAGTTGGTAGAAACTTATGATTTAGTTTCTCTGGAGAAATAAGCATTGCACTCATTAAATATTGACTTGGTTATCTCTAACACTCACTTTCATTTATTCTGGGTCATCGGATGTGATATTACAGTCTGGTACTTTGAAAGCAGGTTTAAAACAGTTTTTAGCTTTTGATTTCTATGCCATTAGCATGACCAAACATTGCAAAACTAAGGATTGCTTCACATAGCTTGGATGAGAATTTGCCTGAATGTGTCTGTTCTTTTGACTTGGTTAAATTATACTGGGGGTAAAAAAAAAAAAGAGCTAGGATGGAAATAAGATTATAACATTCTGTGGTAATCCGTGAAGGTAGAACAATGCACAGAATGCACAGAGCCAGAGGACAGTGCTGACATTTCCCCTGGAAGTAGAGGGGCAGCAGCGAGAATAGCTGGCATAGCTGGCATTCTGTCGTTTCAGTTCACTGTGAGAGAAACAGCAGAACACGCACATACACTAAAGTGCAGCCATATTTATTATGTGCACACAAGTGTTCACCCACACAGAGCCGGTACAGGCTTAAAAACAAATATTCTCTCTTTCCCTAGACTCTGGGAAGTCAGTTTGCCACAATCTTTCTTCTCTGTATATCATTCTCAGATTCAATGACATTTGCTAATGTCTCAGCCAGGCTTTTTGTAAGCTTTCATTAATCAACTCTGTCCCGCCTGCGGCTCCTGTTCAGATGGAGTCCACTTACTGTAGAGTCATTAATAGATTCTGTCAATGAACCTTGAGACAAATTGCTAATTTTTACTTCAGCAAGCATGCCACAGTAACATTCTGACAGTCTGAATCAGGCTTTTTTCTCATAAGTGTAACACATAAATACATAGAAAGTGCTACTTTTGAATACATAAAAGTTCAGGAGGTGCATGGTCATCTAATACTGTCAATCAAAATGAAAGGGTATTAAAACGCTGCTTACATCACTCCTGTACCAGTCTACAAATGGCTTTTTTATTCTAGACTTTATTTTCTGCATATTGATTTCTGGTTTTGTTGTTAAAGTT